ACAGAAGAGATTTGTGTTGTTCAAGCGAATACTTTATAGGACAGTAGAGAGCATCCCTTGCATCTAACCGTAGTTCGGTAGTATGTTAGATTCGTTGAGTTTACTTTCTGCTTCAATTAAAAATTAATGATATCCATGAAGCCACGGGGAAATATTTAATAAAACTTCAGAAAGGAAGATGAAAGGAAATGAAACTCTAATTCCGATATTAATTACGCGTGTTGGAAGCCTATGATATCTCAGTAAGGCGTAGATGTATTTACCCATGCATTGAGACCACTTCAAGCGAGGACGTCATCTAATATTCCTAAAAACGTATGTGATACATTAGCCGTGAGAATTTTGAAAGGAAGGCTAATCCATATCAGTACTTATTGGATGGCGAAGTAGTTTCCTCGATATTCGAGTTTTTTATTTTCATTTCTGACCGTAGATACTTTATCTCCAGGGTCTTATACATGTAGGAGTTGGGTAAGGACTATACAACAGGTGGGATAAGTGAGATGTTGAAAACCAAAACAGAACTAAACTAGAGAGGCACAATTCCTGCATCTATCAAGGGTGGAAGCAAAGACGATAAATATGTTTTATGAGAGATCGCAGTCGATCTTAAATAGGTTTCTAGGAAAGAACCCAGCAAACACATGCACAAAACCAAGACGAGTCTCATCGGATTGCAATAAGGAAAACCACATCGATCATAGTTGCACCAGTAAAATTTCGGAATATCCATGGAGGACGTGAGAACAAATAGAGGAGTTAACACAGATTCAGGTCATTACCTAATAGTTGCAAAAATGAAACGGAAGCTCAAAATGCACTGTGCTGCAAGCGAAATGGCATTACACAGATTCAATACATACGTCCTTTGACCTGCTGGCAAACTCGACCAATTCAAGATAACTCTCAACAACAGATTCCAAATATTACAAAGCGTACTTGGAGAATAGCAAACTATTATGGTGGACAACTGTAAAGGGATTAAAGAGCACTAACTTCAACATGTCAGGAAGTGCTGAGCCGCAACAAGCATCATCATAAGGAATGGATCTCTATCGAAAATCTGGACAAGATTTAAGAATGAATGAACAAAAATACAGCAATTGACAACAGACGTACAAGAGCAGAAGGGGTCAAGAAACAAACTGAATGCAAAAAAAACAAGCAAACAAATGAAGGGATTATTAGAGCTAACAAGCAGGAGTACGTGGGTGATCTAGAAATGACAGAGAACAAGGGTGCACTAGAAGGAAGGACGGAGCAAATATATGACACAAGGAAGGAATTGTTAGGGAAATATGGTAAAGCAGAGAGACTGGTCAGGAAAAAGAAGGAAGGATACTTACTAAGATTCAAGAACAGAGGAACAAATTGTTAGAGACATTCCGAACCTGTAATGGTATTGGGTTTTAATAGCACGATTTTGCACTGAATATATTACTCTACACCCATCCCGAAATATGTTACTCGTAATTAGTAAACTTCATACCTCTGATTGTCATGATTTGACGAGTCGGTGTAGAAAATAACGGAACTTTCATATAAGGTCTTATGAATTAAGTAGCCATATGAAAAATCTACAATTTCAGGGTTAAGTCCATTATTATAATATCAAAGATCAATGTACTAACACCGAACTAGACCATAACTTCACAAACCAACTAGAGGTGAAAGCAGCACATATACCGACAAATAGATTTCACACTAACCTCAACCGGAGAAATCAGCGTGACCATAGGACAAATCAAGGGTTGCAAAGCAGTAGATTCAGGCAACGTTCCGGCTGAAGCCAGACGCGTAAGTAATTTCAAACATGCTCCACGTTTTATCATGGGAGCTTGGAAGGTAAAACAAGTGCCGACAGACTAGGAAGAAAGACACGTCATCAATACATCAAAATAAAAAGAGTTGAACAAATGTGTGGGCTCAGCTACAGAAGCATCACACTACTATCAGTACCAGAAAACGTTTTCCACGGAGTGTCGCTGAACCGAATGAAAGTTTCAGTAAACGTCCAGCTGACGTCAAAACAGTCTTTTTGTACGGAGCCAAAACTTGTAGAACAACTGCGACCATCATTCAAAATGTACAAATATTTATTAACAGCTTTCTGCTCAAGGTATTGAATGTCCGTTGGCTGGATGCCGTCTTCAACAGCCTAGTGTGGGAGAGAATAAACCAGCTTCCAACTGAGGAGGAAACTATGCGAAGACGCTGAAAGATGACATGACATACGTTGAGGAAATCATCACACTGCCCACAAGACAGGCGCTAACTTGGAATCCTGAAGTGAAAGGGAAAAGAGCAAGGCCAAAGAACACACTGAGACAAGAATTGGAAGCCGACATGAATAGCAACTTGAAAGGATTTCCCAGGACAGAGTGGGACAGAGAGTGCTGGTGCAACCTACGCACCTCCATGATGCAAACGATAAAATGTGTTGGTAATAAGATTGAACTTTCCGATTTGGTTGCTATTAGTATCTGGTGTAGGAGACCTATTCTCATTGTTAGAAAACTGCATTCAATAGGTCACAGATTACAGTTCGGTTGTAATACGCCACACTGTTGTACAGTATTTAGTGAATGATGTGGTTCCAAGAAGATGACATTGGTTTTTAGATTTTGATGTAGTGTGCGCCGTGCGCTCCTCTGATCTTCTATTGATGCTGACTTTGAATGACCTCATGAACAGAGTGTATTTGATGCAGAATGTTGAAGTCCTTTGAAATAAAACAAATCCTTTTTACTTTTGGTTGCTTACGCATGGAGTTTTGATTGATATAAAGAATTATTGTTTTAAAGGCTGTCTTGTTGAGGAGTGTTTTGTCTAGCATGGATTTAGTTTTGGTATTGAATATATCTAGTGTTTCTGAAAGTTCATCAATAATGAAGAATCTTCTACATTCAGAGTGCGTGAATAGAAATAGAAAGTCCTCGCAGTCAACATGTGAGTAGTTCTAGATTAAAAGGTTGATGTTATTTATTCTGATTTATTACCTTTTGTGGGAAACAGTAAGGTGCAGACAACCTTCATATGATCGCCGTTGTGAAACGTTTTGGCTATTACCACGGATTTCGGTATGACGGTGTGACTGTAGTAGTGCAGCGATGTTTAACCGTTACTGTGGTTCATGGTTTTTTAAGAACTCAAGTATGGTTTAAAAGCACAATACAACGCATTGTTCTTGAAAGGTTTAGATCATACTGCGAATAATTTTGCAGGATAAATCTAATTAGGAAGCCTTAGTAAATGACATACTCACAGTAGTATCAGATAAACCAGGAGTATTTGGAGCCCAATACATTCATCCAGATGGTATTTTATAGTCGTAAGAGTGTAGTCAGTCCGTCAGTCAGTCAGCTACAACGAAGGACCAGGCACATATATGAATCGGTCCAGGTTGCCATACCGCATCAGCACAACAAGATGAACACCGGATTCATAAAAGTAGTTAATTCAGAGGTGGTAATATATAAAAGAAAGATTGCAGATAGAGATATAGTACAAGAAGAGAAAATTGGTTCATAGAAAGAAAGATATGAAGCGATTTTAATCTCTTTGTTTAAGGGAAGACAGGGAGGGTATACACCGACGCCATTATGATCGATTCTGAGCTATGTCACAAAGAGTCTCCAACCATCGGTTACGACAGTCACGCGGACCCCAACCAAGTAGTCTGCATCTACCAACATGGCTCAGACTAGAAGTTAGTGACTTCAAGCACTGATGCCACGTTTTGGTTTGGCCGCCCCTAACCTTCTTCCAACCATCTCTGACACCCGTTAACATTGCACGTCGTGGTAATCGGTATTCAGGCATACGTAACACGTGGCCCAAACACCTCAGTCGATGAAGATTCACAACCTCATCAACTGATTTACCATCGTTCCCTAATACCATGCGTCTAACCTCACTATTACTTACCCGGTGATCCCAGCAGACGCCAGCAATATTTCTAAGGCATCTGTGGTCAAATACTAGTAGCTTACGAGTGTCTTCTACTCTTAATGATTGTGTTATTCACCGATGCCAGTTTTGTTGTTTTCTTACTTCTGAATTCCTAATTCCGTTCTTTTTTTGAAAACTTATATGCGGTTTGCGCGAGTAGTAATAATCGTATCCGCTCACCGGTGATTACGATCCAGGTGCATTTTCAGAAGTTCTGGTGCAAGGCTACTAACATGTTTAGTAAATTAAGTATAAGCTAAGACAGACATCAACGTTGGTAAAATCAAATACTAGCCTTAAATTGACTGAATTCGTGAAGCCTCGACAATATCTTACTTGTTTCAAGATTTAAAGGTTGATAGTTAGCTTTTCTACGTGAGGTTTTGGATACATTGTGATAAGACTTTAGTTGTAACGATATATATATATATATATATATATATATATATATATATATATATACAATGATTCTTCAACCGATGTCATTTTCTTATTACAAAGGAGGTAGATCAGACCATTTTTTGAGTTTTATTGCTTCGTTAACACTTCCTTTACTGACTATCTAGCCGTTATTGATTCAATGGAACTTTGAGAAAGATGTGTTATATCCTTTTTTAATTTGGTCGTGTTATTTGATTCGAGATATCAATTTATTTTTTGTTGGAAAATATTTTAATTTCAAACGCAAATGGATGTTCACTTACTACACATTATCATATCTCAGATAGTGATCGATTCACACAACTATTCATTGAATTTTGGACATAAATAGTAGTGAACAAGCAACTAAATTTTATAGTTTAAAAATTCACCTTAATTTACTGTCGCGTAAATTGTTTATCACAGCATAATGCAACGACAGTCAATTACGATTCTTCATGTATTAACTGATATCGAAATCTGATTGATAGTTATGTACCACCGTAGGTCAACCGTTTAAACCATCAACTTTGTAACCTAAATTTTCCTGTACTTCAATTAGTACGTCCGTAATTCAAGTATTTTGCAACCGTTAACATTAGTTACGTTTTTATATATTTCTAATTGTCATGGATTCACTTGTAATAATCCTAATAATTTGCTATCTAATTTTTTTCTATAAATATTACAGAGACATTTTCTTCGTGATGAATTTCTTGGTCGTATTAATGAAATGGTTTACTTTTTACCATTCTCCACATCTGAACTTACCGAACTAGTGAATCGTAGTTTAAAAAGTTGGAGTGAGAAGGTCAGATTTTCTTCTGCCATTAGGTTTTAAAAGAATTTAATTCCTGTGAAACAAGAACTAAGTATATATGAAACAACGTCGAAAAATTAATAGAATGAATGATGTTTTTAGCTGAAAAGAATCTGATACTAGATAATTATAATTTCACCAATCTTAAATGTGAAAAATTGACTATTTCGCCTTATGGGATAAGGCTTTAGAATAACACAGATGGTTGGAATCAATTATTCATAGTTGGCCTGTGTGTGTTAACCAATTGTTTAGAGATTTATTAAGTTAAACAATTTTCCAGACTGATTCCCCTAAATAAGTCTCTTTAAAATGATTTTTTAGAGGTCACAAGTAAATATGCTTGAAATTCGCAATTGATGTCGGTGATACATTTTTATGGAAAAGTTAACATTTAGTACAACTGTGAATTCTTCAGAAAGATTTAATCTACTGTCAATGAGTTCAGATATATAAAAATGAGAGTTTAAGAAATAAGTTACGAAAAGTAATGGAGGATGTATGAATTTATTATTATATCAGTTGTATTGTGGCAATCACAACATCTCACTTATGCTAGTTTCACTATATTTCTGATTTTCATATATGTGAAATAATAGATGTTTTTAGGTCAAGTTAGGGGATGTTGTAGTTTTAGTGATTTCATTTTTTAGGTGAACTCATGTGTGCTACGGCATAAGTTAACTTTAAGAAACTATGTGTAAATCCTATTTACGCCTAGTATCTTGTTGAATCTTTTCACTATGGTCTGTTACACAAATTGCTTGCTAGATTTTATATATGCTTAATTTTATAAACTATCAGTTTTTTATGTAAAATTTGATATATAACCTAGAGTAATTTTTGTTGTAGGCATTGAAAAGGCATTCTCTCACAGTAACATGGAATCGTGAAGTAGTAGATCTTATTGTTGATGGATATGATGTGTATTATGGAGCAAGATCAATTAATTACGAGGTAAGACTAGCAGATTTCATCGCGTTTTTAGAGGTCATACCACTAAGGATTCTAAATCAATCCTCTATGACTTTTAGATGAGTAGAAGTGTTTGTTTTAGTAATTCCATCGACTTAACCGGCCTTGGTACAGATAAAAGTAACCACTTCATTAAATAATTTTACATTGTGGAAACTGTAGTCAATTATCGTTTACGATCGATAAATGCCAGTCAGTCAGCTACAACGTAGGACCAGGCACATATATGAATCGGTCCAGGTTGCCATACCGCATCAGCACAACAAGATGAACACCGGATTCATAAAAGTAGTTAATTCAGAGGTGGTAATATATAAAAGAAAGATTGCAGATAGAGATATAGTACAAGAAGAGAAAATTGGTTCATAGAAAGAAAGATATGAAGCGATTTTAATCTCTTTGTTTAAGGGAAGACAGGGAGTGTATACACCGACGCCATTGTGATCGATTCTGAGCTATGTCACAAAGAGTCTCCAACCATCGGTTACGACAGTCACGCGGACCCCAACCAAGTAGTCTGCATCTACCAACATGGCTCAGACTAGAAGTTAGTGACTTCAAGCACTGATGCCACGTTTTGGTTTGGCCGCCCCTAACCTTCTTCCAACCATCTCTACACCCGTTAACATTGCACGTCGTGGTAATCGGTATTCAGGCATACGTAACACGTGGCCCAAACACCTCAGTCGATGAAGATTCACAACCTCATCAACTGATTTACCATCGTTCCCTAATACCATGCGTCTAACCTCACTATTACTTACCCGGTGATCCCAGCAGACGCCAGCAATATTTCTAAGGCATCTGTGGTCAAATACTAGTAGCTTACGAGTGTCTTCTACTCTTAAAGGCCATGTTTCGCTGCCGTAGAGTAAAACAGAACGGACTGCCGCGCAGTATACTCGTCCTTTTATTGATAGACGGATATCTCGCCTTCGCCAAGGTGACGTAAGTTGGCAAAAGCCAAACGAGCTTTTCGAATCCGTGCTGAGATTTCGTCAGACACCAACCCATTAGGGCTGATCAGACTTCCAAGATAAGTGAAGTTGTCAACGCGTTCGACTACTTCACTCCCTATCCTTAGTTCAGGTGTTGACGCAGACCAGTCCTGAAGCAACAACTTGCATTTAGAGGGAGAGAAGCGCATTCCAAACATTCTGGCATTGTTGCTCAGTGCTACCAAAAGACTCTGCATTTTGTCAGCGTCTTCACCAAACAGGACTATGTCATCTGCGTATTCTAAGTCGATAAGTGGACCTCCTGGAAGGAGATCAATACCCGAGAATTCAGTCGACGAGAAAGTTATTTCCATCAGTAGATCTATGATGAAGTTAAACAAAAATGGGGAAAGTGGACAGCCTTGACGGACACCACTTGAGGTTGCAAAAGTAGATGACAGTTCGCCATAAGCTCTGACTCGACTAGTAGTGTTCGAGTAAAGAGCCTTTACAAGGTTTATGTACTTCTGGGGTACGCCTTTCAATGACAGACACTGCCACAGAGTCTCGCGGTCTACAGAGTCAAATGCTGCTTTTAAGTCAAGAAAGACCACCATTGTCGGACGCCGATAAGTATGCCTGTGTTCTAGAACCTGACGAATGGTGAATATGTGGTCGATGCAGCCACGACCAGGTCTAAAGCCAGCTTGGTTCTCTCGTGTTTGCAGTTCACGAGTCTTAGTTAGGCGTCTGATAATTATCGAGGCTAGTATTTTAGATACTATGTTTGTTAAACTAATCCCTCTGTGGTTGTCACAGGATGATTTTGACCCTTTCTTATATATTGGGACGATAAGTGATTGCGACCAGTCAGATGGGATAACGTCTAATTCCCAGATCTTAGCTAAAATATTAGTCAACCTAATCGCTAAAATTGGACCACCATCCTTAAAGACCTCTGGAGCCAATCCATCTGGACCAGCTGCCCTTCCTCGTTTCAGATTAACTATAGCCTTCTCAACTTCAGCAAGAGTTGGGGGACCTACTTCAATGTTCCATTCACTTGTCTGGGAATGGAGGGTAGTTGTAGAGTAGCTGAAGGCCAGCTGAACTGTTCTCTGAAATGTTCCGCCCATCGTTCTAAACGTCTGGACTGGGAGCAGATGAGAGTATCGCTTTTTCCGAAATAATCTCACTTACACTTGACTTATTAATTCCAGTTTCTTTTATTAGTCTGTAAAGCTGTCTTGTGTTCCCTATAGTCGCCGCCTTTTCCATCTCTTTTGCTTTCGTTGCCCACCACTGCTCACGGTCGTTCCTTAGACTTTTTCTTAACCTAGATCTGATTTGTTGTCGCTCTTCATCATGTTCGGAACCTGATGGGACGAGTTTGCGAGAATCCATCAGTGTGATAGACTTTGAAGAAATCCACTGGTTCTTTGTAACTCTGTGGTTTAAGTCGCTAATAGATGTCACTGCTGTTTCCACAGCTGCTTGTATGTCTTTCCAAGCAACATCTGGGTCAGCCTCGTCTTCAGAACTACCTAAGTGTGACCTCAGTTGTTCCTGGAACCTACTTTTGGTTTTCTCGTTACTCAACTCAGTTCTAATGGGTCTTTTTAATGTGGCTTTTTTGCGTCCAGTGAGGCGCAAGCAGATGCGTGCCCGTATTAGGGCATGGTCGGAGTCCAAGCAGGTACTCCAGAATGAGCGACAATCTTCTACCGACCCTCTCCAACGATGACTGATGGCAATATGGTCTATTTGAGTCCATCGTTGGTTTGGTGTAGGGGGTCGCCATGTTAGACGATGTCTCTCCTTATGCTTAAAATTTGTGTTTGCTAAAAATAAACGATTGTCTGAGCACAGTTGCAGCAGACGATCACCATTATCTGTTCGCTGTGCCGGAATGCTAAAATATCCACCTAAATGCCTTTCTGTTTGGTTTAAGCTACCTATCTGAGCATTAAAGTCACCCCTACGAGTACTATGTCTGAGCGTTTAGCTTTCTGAAGAAGTTCGGAAGCTTTCTGTAAAATTCATCTTTCACTTCATCTGAGCTGCAGTCAGTGGGAGCGTAGGCAGAAACGACGAAAAGGCAACGACGTGTGTCCCTATCCTTCCGAGTTCTTACGGAGCCGTTTAGCCGAACAGCACATAGACGACTGTTGACGGGGATCCACTCTAGCAGTGCTTGTTCGCCCTCATGCTTAGTGCTATGCCTACACCTGCCAGTCCACGAGAGCTGGACATCGGGCCGTATCGAATCAGGTACATTACTGAGAGCAGCCTTGTCACAGAATTCCATTACCGTGATTTCAAGTGCAAATTCAAGACACCCAACATAGTTTTTGGAGCCTCAATCACAATGACAGTGTTCACAATTATTTTTTGATGATGAGAGTGAGGCATAGAAAGAGAATCAAACCCTCGATTTAGTACAATTAAATTCAATGGTAAGTACCGTGATGAGTAGATATGTCATTTTATTTAGTAAAGATCCAGTTTCGATCAACATAAGTGTCAGTCGTAGTTAGTATTCATCTAACAGCGGTTCTTGAAGTGAACTCGATGAATTTTTAGAATTGTGCTCTAATTAAAGATGAGCTTATTGATCTTTGTTACCATAATAATAATGCTATGACGGATAAAAATTAAAAATTAAATTACTCATCATGATCCTTGTTCAACAATAGTTTTGCTTTAATTCAATGTGATGATTACTTAGTACCCAGTAACACTACTCTACTCCCACACCAGAATCAACGTAACTTTGATTCGATACAGAATGAAGTTGGATTTTAGCGCATCGAAGGTTATCAGAAAAATAATAAGAATCCTTTGTGTATTGATCAAGAGAGAGGTAAATCAAAAGGAAGGCGGCATTAACTGATCGGAATTTGCAGGTAATAGTTCCCAAATGTCTGGCTGAATTCTCAATGCATTGAAAACGAAAATCTTCTTTAAGATTATTTGAGTGTTAAACAAGGTGGGATTATCATAGTGAATAGTGATGTAGCGTAAGAACATTTCAGGAAATCGAGTTATTATTCACATTAATAGCCATCGGTTAAGGTAATATAAGTATTTTTTGCTTAGATGTAGGAAAACAATCAATGTAGTGTCATAGTTGACATTTATAATATTTTTGATTTAAATAAGATAGTCAGTTCACGTTTTAAGCGCTATGCTGTATCAGTAGGCTAACTAAAGGAATAATGGTATTACCGTAGAATGGAATAATTCCAACTAGTGTTTAGCTTAATTTGCTAAGTTTATTGCGGTTTATGTATTCGTAAGATATTCTCGAACGTGTTGTTGCCTAATCTTGATAAGATTTATTAAGACTACTAGTACGTAGGAATCGTCTTCGAAAATGCTTTTATTACGCAAAAATAGTGATTATGTGAACTTCACAAAGATAGCTAAGAGTGTTAAACCAAAAATACGTTTTAGACTGAAGAATAGCTCTCTAGGTGGGTTAGATAGGCATGCTTGACCGACTGAAACCAAAACAAAGTAATTGGGAAAATTAAGGTTCGATAATTCATTATAAATTTAAAAGTACATTGTTACCTAAACAAATATGACCGCCCAGCTATCTAACCAATAATTGTTGAACTAATCAGATCTAAATTACAATAAATAAGGAAGTTGATGAAGGATGCGACAAAATAACCAATCACAACAAATAAATGTTATTCTATCCTATCTGGATAGGTCATGCACAGATTCGTTCAAAAGATAATATTTGGTTGCTATACAGCATAGAGTGTTTTCAATTCTGGAAGAGTGCTTTAATTCACAATCAATATGCATAGTTTCAGTCAATACAAGGAGCACAATTAAAAGGAGGAACAAACCAATATGGCTGCCACTAAGACTAAGTATCAAGTGAAACGACATAAATGCAGTTCAGGAAGAAACATGAAGGCGTAAGAAAAATAAAAACTGTAATAAAATACAAATATTGCCAACCCAAATGGGATCGAAAAGACTAACAAAATGTATAACTAAAGGAATCAATAGGAACAAACTGCAAAT